AAAGAGTAGATATTTCCACATATTATTAAAAGGAATTAATTTTTCTTATGTTTTTCGATGTTAAATATTTTCAGTATTAGACATTCTCTTTTTTGTGTGTTAGTCACCCAAATGTCTTTCTTGAACTGGCAGTGAAAAAATTCTGCATGAAGGGTAATAAAACAATTAAGACTGCTCCAATAGTGAGGAAGGTATCTATATTCTTATCTTTTAATGACCCCTGTGTGTTTTTAGATCTATTTCCATTTTTTTTGTGTTTTTGTCAGCATGCATATGTATACGTATATTCCCTCTCCATACATACATACTGTCTTATTATAAGGAATTAGTATACACAAATGTACACATATACATACACACACACATACATACAAACACACACACACTTCCTATGTTGTGTAGGGTTCGTGTGTGTCCATGAGCAGTTTTGTTCTTGTTAACATGTGTATATATATATATATATATATATATACACCAGTACCCGCATGTACATGTGCACTCCCTCTCTTATACATACATACTGTCTTATTATAAGGAATTAGGATACACACATACACTTATATACATACATATATGCACACACACACACACACTTCCCATGTTGTGTAGGGTTTGTGCACATGCCTGTGAGCAGTCTATTGTTTTTGCCAATATGTGTATACATATTTGTGCTCCACATATATCCACGTGTGAGTGTGTGTGCATGGATGCAAATGGTTTGACCACTGTATCTGGCCATTATGTGTGCATGTTGTTTGCTTTTGTCAGTGGGGTTAAGAACTATTTAGTGCTGGTTTAAATTTGTTTATGAAGTTTTTTTTCTTGTATTTGTAGGTAAAAATAATTGTCTGTTTGGTATGTTGGCATAATTTTAAATTCTCCCTGGTTACATTTATAGATGTGTTGTGATACAAAGAGTTTTCTGTTTGGTAATTTTATGTTGCTTTTGTGTAGGGAGACCCTGTTGTTTAGTTGTTGGCAGATACCTATATATGAATTCTTGCATTTTGTGCATTTAAGTACATAAATTACATTTTTGGAGTTGCAGTTTAAATTTTTATTTATTATGAATATCATTTGGGGTTTTCAAAAGTGTAGGAGTTTCCTTCTATAATGATGTCACAAACCCCACATCTTTTTTGTTGCATTTTGTGATTCCCTGTATTGTGCCTTGGTTAAATTTGGATGAGGTTAATATGTGTTATATGGTTTTTAGATTGGCATTTGCTTTTAATTATTTTGGTTGTTTTTAGTAAATTTTTCAGTTTGTCATTCTTGCTAAGTAGGTCTAGATGTTTTGTAATTTCTGTAAATAGTTCTGGATTGTTCTTGTTATATGTTGAGACATATGCTAGAGTTTGTTTGACGTTACGTTTATTTGGATTTCATAGTTGGTCTAAAGGAATTTTTTTTTACAAGTTCAAAACCTTTGTTTATTAGTGTTGTGGGGTAGACTTGTTTTTTTAAAGTTTTATATAGTTCTTCTAAGTGGGCTTTTCGTAGGTGTTTGTCAGTCACTATAGTACAAACCCTACATGCTAGAGAAAAGTGGATGGATTTCAGGCAGTTTTTTAGGTGATGACTCTTGAAATGAAGATATTGTTGGTAGATATCTGTGATTATGTGGTTGTTTTTATTTCTAATGGGTATATCTAAAAATGGTAATTTGTTGAAATTATATTCTTGGGTGAATTTGATTTTTGGGTGTAAGTTTTGAAGAAAAGTGCGGAATTGGTTAATATCACCCCATGAGGATTTCCAGAAAATGAAGCAATCATCTAAGTATCGTTTCCAGGATTTAATGAAGTGGGTTTTTATATTATCCCCATATACTTGTTCTATCTTTTCATAGAGGTTTTCCTCTAGGTAAGCTAATGTTAGAGTGGCATATGTTGGTGCCATTTTTGTTCCCATTGCGGTACCTAGAGTTTGGATACAGTTTTTGTGGTCAAATTCAAAGGTGTTATTGTTTAGAATTAGATCTATACTATCAATAATGAATTCCTTAGTGAATCTGGGATGCAGTATTTCTGGATATTTTTCAATCCAGAATTAGATTGCCTTTTTACCTAGTTCATGGGATATGTTGCTATATAGGCTACTAATGTCAAAAGTTGCCATAAGTGTTCCCGGATCTACTTTTTGTGGTATGGAGCTAAGGAAATGAATATTGTCTCTGATGTAGCTTTTAATCTGCTTAGTTAATGGCTGTAATGTTGTCTATTAGGTTACTGAGTTTCCTAGATGGACAGGCTGGTCCTGTTACTATGGGTCTGAATGTAAGGTCACTGGGGTTTGGGATGCTAATGTATTCAGAATTTTGTGTCTGGATAGCTTCTATTATATATATATATATATATATATATATATATATATTTATATATATATATATATATATATATATATATATATATATATATATATATATATGTATGTATGTATGTATGTATGTATATATATATATATATATATATATATATATATATATATATATATACACACACACATCAAAGGAAAAGCTCAATTCATAATTAAATGATTTGATATATATTATAAAATATAGTTTTAAGATATTTATGGGTAAAAGTACTCAATATCTGGGACAGAGTATCTGTAAGTATGACGGGACATTGACATTAACACCAAGTGACAACGGTCCTTTTCATATTTAAATGCAATAAGCTGAAAATTGCATTTAAGTGGATTACAGTGTTATACAGCAGATATATTAATGCCCATAATGGGGGAAATAAAATTTGGGAGAATAAATCTTTCTTCCAGAGCTCTATCATTTTATACAATAACCCAGTTCTCCCTCTTTGTGATAAAAAGAATTTATAGCAATGTTACTCCAAAATTAGTCAGCACTAACAGAAATGGGACACTTATTGTAGAGGTAGAAAAAAAAGTTCTTCAGACTTACTACAAAAACTCTACATAACATTAAAATAAAATCATCCCACCACAGATCTTTAAACTTATCTGTCTCTCTTCCACTGCAAATGAAAATTAAACCTAAAAAAAACAAAACATTATATACATAAAAAAGAATATCAATAAAAAAAATAATGGGACAATACATACAAACACTCACATCCTAACATTCATTACCAGTAACCAAAATCAAAATCAGCTACTTAATGGCAAATGCTGAACCATAGATAGCAAACCTATTAAGGTGTGGGAAAATGAAATAAAACCAAAAAATAACATAATAATAAAGAATAAAAAATAAATAAATTAATTTTCCCATGATGCAAGTTATAAAGAAACTAAAAAGGGTTTCTGGTCACATGTTTGGTTTTCTGACCCCACTACCCAGAAAGGATTGAATCTCTTACTTTTCCTTCAGATCGTTCATATGTGTTTTCAGCAGCTCTACTCATCAAGTAGAGATTCAGCCATCCCAACTTAGTGTGAGGGTAACTTGAGTTCAACCATCCTTACCTGTTCTTATCCTTACTTCTCATAAATTATTTCTGAATCAAAAAATAGCAAGCAAGAATATTTTCATGGTAATTGTTCTGATGAACTTTCTTCTATGGTACTTAGACTTTATGAATTTAAGAGCAATACCAGATTGGTGGCAAGGTCTCATCATTTTACAGTGGAAATGGCTGCTAGATGTAACTGTAAGTTTTATGCTAAAAGTTTTTTCTCTCACACTTCTTGCTTGTGGAATTATCTTCTAGCTTCTTGCTTCCCAATCAACTTTGTTCATCAAAAATCTAAATGCAATATTAATCATTATCTTCTGTCTTCTTAATTTTTATTCATTTTATTGTCTTCTCTCTCCTTAATAGTAGTTTTTCTCATATTCTCTAACACTCAGTAACCTCTTGCATTCTAGTGGCTTTATTGCCTTGCTTGGGGTAAAATGATTAAAAAAATGTTACAACAAATTGTTCAATTTAACAGAACACTTAGACTCCATAAGCAGATTACACAATGCAGCCACAGGACTAGATGAAAAAGGAATTTAAAAAACCAAAGAAACTGTCCCCAAAATCTTTAAAATATTTACATCTTCAATAAGATATGGATAAATGGTAAACGCCATTCTGTCTGGAAACAAGCTATAATAACCCCTCTCCTGAAATATAAGATAACACAGAGCCAATAACACTTACAGGTGGTTTACATTAAACTTTCAAAACAATGATAAATCAAAGACTAGCCTTGTATTGAGAATCTAAAGGCCTTATTAGCAATCTCCTATGTGGATTTCAAAACAAAAGAGGAACAACAGTGTAGCAGGAAAGCTGTAATTCTGTAGCATAGACACTAGAAACACCCTCCCAATGAATTCTGGTTAAATACGCAATGCTGTGTATTACACTGAATGCACAAGATTCTTTCTCGCCTTACTTATATGTTCTTGCCGAGTCAGAGAATTTGCATATTGGTCATGCTGCCAGCCTCGATCTGACTCATTGATGTATACGACTCGTCATTCCTGCATCGGTGCTTGGAGTGTCTGCCTTGCTAGCAATTTACTCGCACATATAGGCTATGATAGCCCTCTTGGACCAATGAAGTAATTCTCCACAAACAGATCCACTAAGTATAACTCAAAACCTTCATAAGAGAAGACTTCATAAAAAATAGAATTCTTAATTGCAATCTTTTTTGCCTTGGAAAGTGCATGTGACACATGATGATAGTGTGTCATGGAAGATCTGCAAGAACTGGTAATCAATAAAAGGAAGACTATTGAACCTCAGAAAATAAACTTCCTATTAGAGACTTTAAAGTCTGTGTGGAATCAACTCTCTCTGACATCAACTAGCAGAAGGAAAGAAGTTTTGGGATATGCCTGTCCTGGTTTTTGTTGCTATCTGAGTGTCGGGATTCCAAACATTTATTAACAACAACAACATCTTTTAAATCAAACATAAAAAAAGTTATTCTCTGAAGGAAAAGTAGAGGCAGAACATCTGTTGAAATAACATTTATAGATTCTTTTCAGAAATATACAATAACAAATGCTTTTCAGGTTTATGGCCAAATCATGTTGAAACACCAATTCTCATATGATCACCAAAGTTAAGAAACATCTAGTCTGGTCAGTATCTAGATGGGTGACTGCTTGGGAATACCAGGTGCTGTAAGCATGGATGTGTAGGTGGTGTAATGGATAATGGCTTGGAATTGGAAATTGTAGAGCCAAGTTCCAATTCCAGTCAGGTTTGTTATATTCACTTATGTGCAGATATCCCTGGAAAGGTATGACTCCCCCTATTCTCCCTCCAGTTATGGGTTAATTAGTATGACTTTTATCAGTAAATCATTAATACCTTCCCAAAATTCTTACAATCTAAAAATATTTTCTGGCTTTAAATAACCTTCAAAAGATTGATAAGCTGTAAAAAAACAATCAATGAAACTTTCAGTTATCCAAATTCTATTTTATTAAAAAAAAAACTGCCTTTTTTTATGACCGGGTCATGTTGTTATGCTGTATATGTTTATTCCAACTATTTTTTTTTCTTTCTTTCTTCTTGCTTAGTTGTATAAATCAGTAAATCAGCCATTGCAGTTGTCTCCAGTCTGTAACCAACTCTCATCTGCCCAATATTATGAGGGAATTGTTGATATCTGTTTGTGCATTGCACAAAAACGTGATCCCCAAAATTTTGCCTTACATTTCCACAAGAATGGAGAACAGCCTGAAGATTCCCAAGGCAAACATGTCCTGGTAAGTAACCATTAAAACCTAATCAGTCTTTTAACAGACATTGATTAATTTCTTTGTTTTAAAAATTTATGAAGTAAGTTTTACTGTGTCTCTTAAGAAAAAAAAAAAACTTGTCAGTTGATAGGATTTTAAAAAGAAAGAAAAAAAAGGCATGATTGTTCCTTATAAACTTTCTCATTAACTCTTATTATTATTATTATTATTATTAACATGATTTTTGCTTATAGGCTTGTCAGGATTTGCTTACTCAGTTTTTTTGTTATCTGAGTGTCAGAATTTCAAACATTTAACAACAATATCACATCTTTTAAATAAAACCTGATAAAGGTTATTCTCTGAAGGAAAAATAGTAGCAGAATGTCAGTTCAAATAACATTTATAGATTCTTTTCAGAAATATACAATAACAACAAATTTTTTCTTGCTGTTTGCTTTATCATGTAATTAAGTGTTCATAGTGAGGTGTGAAATGTGTGGACATACGTTATGACAATCAGGCTAGTGTGTTTTTGAGTTAGTAGACAAAATGCTTAGTTGGCAGATGCTGATTAATCCCTTCTATTGTGTGCACAAGGCCTTAGCGGCTACTGACTGTCAATCCCTTTCATTGTATGCATGATGGATATGTGCGTGTGTGTATACACACATAGATCAAACTGACCTCCTAAATCAGTTTGAAATTCGAAAAGCAGTATGCTTCTATTTTTATATCTGTAAGGGGATTCAAAATCTAATTTCATATTGAGGTGTGAACTTTTTAATTCAAGGTTTTCATTGGTTAGAAAATAACTTCACATTGGCTCATGAAAATCTTTTTTCAAATTTGTGAGAGTGTTGAAAAGAATTATTATTGTTATTTTCTAAATGGTCCAAAAATCACGTGGTAGATGTTATAAAATAAAATAAGACATATCTCGGCTGATTTGCTGGCAAATAAACTAACATACTCAAGAGCGAGAGCCAGATATGAACGGGACAAGGCCCCATCACAAAATGACCATTATTGTCGTTTATGCATAAGCCTGATGCACGAGTTCCGGTCGAAAAATAAAATAATATTTTAAAGTGTTTTTATTTTTTGACCAATAAAAATGCTTCCCTCCTAATTATACTTGTGTCGTTTAACCAGTCTGTTAAGCCATAAAAACACCATAAAAGGGGTCACACGGGGAAGTACAACAGCAGTCAACAAGAGGCCAGGGAAGAGACCTGTCACGGTCAGTCAGCAACAGTCAGCAGGAGGAGTGCCACACCAACGAGTGAGAACTACTATGAAAGATCAACCCAGATCGGAAGCCAGCTTATGAACTATACCACAAGGTAGCTGTACCAAACCCACACATTCCTATTGAAATAAATCACGTAAATCTGCTATTGTCGTATTTCTTTCTTACAACCATACACTTGTCTATAACATAGATCTACAACTACATCCACAAGTATTTTGACAGTATTTTCTCTAATAATTATTGTTTATCAAACAAAACTTTCTGATAGGATTTTATTGATTGAAAAATATATATAGGATTTAATTCCTATATGTTCTCCATGTCAGCATATTACCTGTAACCTTATTCAATATAAAAATTAATAATATCATAAAAACTTTAAAGCCTGGCATTGATATATTAACAACTTTTTAATAGGCTACAGCTCAAAACACAACCAGAGAATTGAATGACAATTATAGTTAAACAAAATAAACAAACGGGCCACTGAAAGTAGGTTTAGAGTCTTTAAAATAAAAACACAATGCATTCACTTCTGAAACAACACAATGTATAATGACCCAATCCTTAAATTAGATAACACTATCACTGGACAACACAAATTCTTAGAGATCATCTTTGATAAAAAAAATTATTCATCCCTCATATAAAATACTTGAAACAAAAGTGTTACAACTTCTTGGGGGTGACTCCAAGCACAGGCTAGTGATCTGATTGAAAAATGCCCTTAAATCTCTACAGAATCATAATCTGCTCCAAGTTTCATTTACAGGTCAGCTACAACCTCATACATCATGAAAAGCTAAGACTCATCCTGTGAGCCTTCGAACCATTACCAAAGGAGAACCTATGTACAAAAGCCCACAATGCACCCCTAAAGTGAAGGTGAAAAAGACTAGCTCTCCAATGTGACTTGAAACTCTAAAGCTGTCTATTTAATCCTGCTTATGATATCACCTTTAACCCTAATCACTAACCCCTCTTTGGCAAAAATAAAAAAAACAATTAAAATCTTTGGAATCCAGATGAAAAATATCCTAGAGGAATCCCAAATAACCACTGAAGATATACAAGGTAATTCTAAAATTAAATATACAAAATTAAACACAAACCCTTATCTCTATCTCGAGTAAGTTGCTCTTGGTAAGTATAAGGTTAATACATCATATATCATTAACATTCCTACATCTCCACAAAGGGTTCTAAAGACAATGGTTGGATGTATTATAATGAGCATATGGTTGTAAAGGAAAGGAACAAAGAAGGATTCAAATTTCAACAGCATGTACCAATCAAGTGTCAGAATAAATACATAGTTGTTTGAAAAAGTGACAAAATTGTTGATATTTGGTTCTTTAGTTGCCATTGGTAAGGGAAGCAATTAGGTGTCAGGGTGTTGTTGGGAAGGCCAGGTGCAGGTAACGGCTCAGTTGACCAAGGTCACGGTTTGTGTCAGGAGAGAGGCCCGGAGTGGATTAGTAAAGCCATGTGGAATGTTGTTGGCAAGGTTGATCCATCTTTCTTCAGGATTAAAAATGACATTGGTGAATGGGTTGGTGGTCATTTGTCATGGATGAGGTGTTGAGCCAAATTGCCTGTTAACAGCAAGGTGTGCATTTTTATCTTTTGTTTAACAGGTGCAGGATTCCAGGCTCATCTCAGACTATTGTATTTTAGATTTTTGCACAGATTTTTTGTAGCCCAGATGGGATGCTTAGAACCATTACAGAGGAATGTAGAAAAAAAAAATTTTTCTGATTCTCTCTCTATCCTATTATCTCTCAAAAACAAAAAAATAGAAAATCCCACAATAATCAAAATCTTGGAAAAAAATAACTGACATATCCACCATCCTCTTCTTCTATAATCCATGATCCTTTAGGACATTGGCAACCATGGCTCTCCATAATTTCCTCACTCTTAATAAACTTTGTCTTTTTACTATCTCTCTTAAACCCTGTTCTGCCAACCATTTATACAAGCTTCTTAGGTTATCTGCTATTTTGCTCTCAATATGTCCTGTGGGTTTCGTTTTTTCAAACCCTCTTTTGTTTCCATTTTCTCTAAAACTTCATCATTGATCACATGTCTAGTCCATGGTATTGTCAGCATTCTTCTGTAGAATGACATTTCTTTTAGCTTAAGTTTTTTTTCCATCTGTGAGGAGATTGTCCAGCATTCACTGCCATATAGGAGAACTAATATTACATAACAGTTTAGTACCCTTTTGTTTGTTTCTTAATACTTTGCTTAGCTTTTGGAATGCATATTTTTCTATTCTAATGTGCCTTTGGATTTCGTTGTCATACTTTATTATATTTCTAGAGATTTAAATTTTTGTACTTGTTTCAAGGCATTATTCGGGCTTTGTTTGACCATGTTTGACTACATGGACAAGTGGTTAGGCATGTCAGATCCAATGATGGTTCCCTATAGTGGATGCAGATTCAAATCCTGCCAGAGGAGACATATTTTTCTTATAAGATTTCTCAAATATTCAGGCCAGTAGATGTAGTTGGATAATAAATATTGTTTAATTAAAAAAACAGAGCTTCTACTTGAATATGAGCATCTATCAAAAATAATATTTTAGTAAAACAAATTAAAAATAAATATATTTTGGATTTAATCCATTTCCTAAATACACACACACACACACACACACACACACACACACACACACACGTTAAAATGGTAATCCGTATTGAATTTCCAAGAGGATAAGATCCAAGGAGAGCTCTATTAAGCACAAAGAAGGCTGGGACATGACCATCAACACTAATAAACTTTCAAAAGAGCTTGGATTATTTAAAAGATACGTGGAAAATTATGTAACTTTCAAGAAAAATTAAAAAAAAAAAAACAAATTCTCAATGAAACAAAAAATGAACATAATTTTTATACACCTTAATCATCATGTGTATACATAAATTACATATAAACAAGTCAGTTTAAAGACAAACAAAATTTCTTTGCTGAGGATTTTTTGTTTATATTTTCTATAACTTGAAAAATTTTCTTGGTTTTCAACAAAAGTTTAAATGTAAATTGTCCAATGTCTGAGTACTTTCTGCTTTCATAAGCAATTATCAAATTGTTGCTTTCAATCCAATCGGAATTACTGTAAAACACTTGCTATTCCCAAATTTATAGGCAGAAGCACACAAATGTATGCTGGGATTATTT